TTATTGTAAGTAAGGGAGACAACCTCTGTCTAGATCATCATACATGTGTGACATTGTGAATATCTTGTTCTCAATTTACTATGAAAAGTAAATAAAGTGCAGACTGATTAAATCCATTGATCTCCGTTTATTTAACTGGAATGTATAGTTGAATACTTTTTTCACATGACAACTGTTATATTGCTAATTAATATAGCATATGCAACTATCAGTGATATCACTGTAAAAAAAAAAAAAACTTTCTTAGTCATTGTCTTCCTCCTTGTATGTCCTGCCCTCAGTATAATGTGTAATTAAATTATAATCAGCTCCAAATGTTTGGAATCCATAGTCTCAGCTACTGATGTAAAATGCATCTGTTTTGGAGTCACTATGTGCTGATTGTGAGTTAGTGTCACTGGTATTGCTTTCTGCTCCCACATGGTGCTCATGTGAATTCCTCCAGCTTGTCTGTATCCCCAATGACCAGAACATTTTCCTCCTACAGTGATCTATTCAATTTAAAAGAAATATTGCAGAATGCCTGTTTTTTTCTCCTTTTTTTCTTTAGGATGTAGGCTTTCATCTTGGTCAAATGTTCATTCATGTATAGGTCAGTCTCCCTCAGCCTCTTTCCTGTTTTAAGCACAGCTGTTTTGAGCTTTCTATTAACAAACCTTATGATGGTGGAAAATGTATCCTTGGCAGGGGGGTGGCAAGCTTAAATGTGCTCAAAATCCAAGTTAATTACATGGGACTACAAAAATGACCTACCTGTTGTTCAGAATACCGGTACTTATACTCCAGCTCTCACAATTGTCCTCCATTGTCAGTGGCCACTGTCCTCAGTGTATGACTGGGTTCTTCCACATGATGACAACATAATTCATCCTTACAGTATATGTTGTTCAAGGTAAGAAACTGTTCTGCAGGTAGAGGATCCTCTCGTCCTTCTATGTGTTTTGATGGCTGAGAACTTTCCCCTCCTAAACCAGATCAGAATACCATTCTACCGCATCCCTGATTGCAGAATCCTCTCCTGACAGAAATTCCATAATTTTCTTTTATTTCGTTAACCTCCTTACTATCAGTCTCTTCATTAATCCCATGCTGTACACAGGCTTACATCTATTAACTTTTTTTTTTTTAAATATGCTCTTAATGAAAACTCAAGAGTGCCAAAAATTATCGTAAAAATGTAAACCCCCAGTGAAACCGGAACCAGAAGTGAGTGCCTTCAGCAATGGTGTATTAAATGAGTACGACAGTTTGAGTGATCTGGATAGTTCAAAATAACATACACCGTTCTTACTTTACCCTTTTTCCCACTAAAATTAGTTGGTTAGCAAGAGTCTTTCAAACACGGGTCGACCCGCTAACAATCTGCCTTTGGCTCCCTCCCCATTGGCAAAAAAAAAAAAACTTGGTCTGACCCCCACGCTGGCAAACTGCGTTGCCTCTGCCTCCTATTACTGCATGTTGATAAAGTTGTTTTTGCCAGAGTTGCTTTAACTTGTTATATTAGACATGACTGCTGTAGTGTGTTGACCTCCATAGGCTGCTCTCAATGGTGTCAAGTAAATTAGTGAGTTCACCCGGGTCTGATGTCATCACTGTATGCCTAGCCATTTGAAGGCAATTGTAACCAGGGTCACTTGCCCAGTCGTTTGACACAGTTCAACACGGGTCACTTGAAAACATTATATTTGCACTACCAACATCGCTGATTTTTTCATAATCCCTTCAAATAAAACACAACTCAATGCTCTATCACATTTTGCACCCTATTTTTTATTTTGCACTGCACTGAACCTTTCCATGTAAATGCCTTTTGCACCATGACTGTAGACTGGTTTTCTTTTTCTCCTACACTGTCTACATTCTTGATCACTGCTTTATAAAGGATCTTTTTCCTAAAAAAACGTTATAAATGGCAATGTTCATCGCTATATGCACTTGGATGGAGTGGCAGCCTAGTGGTTAGAGCATAGAGCTTGGAATCCTGAGGTTCAAAGTTCAAGCCCCACTTCCACAGACTTGAACTCTGGGTCTCTGAGCAAGACTCTTAACTACTGATTGCTCCATGGGCGCCTCACAATGACAGCCCACTCCTCTCAAAGGGGATGGGTTAAATGCACTATTAAAGTTCTCTAATGGAGATCAATAAAGTTTGATTATTATTATGAAATTTTGTTTTATATACACTCTGTGTATACAAAACGAGGATAAAGTTTGTCTAATTCTAAGTTCCCAGCTTTAAACGGGTTTTTCAGCCAGTGGGAAAAGGGTATTTGGTGAATCAGCTAACAATGATCTTATGTGAATCAATCACTGTAAAGAAACTATTAAATGATTTAATATTTTTGACTAAGCATTAAAATACTGCATTGTTTTCAGAACTTTTAGATTTTAGAAAACATATTCTCAACATTTTTTTTACTATAAATTTTGAGTTGCATTGTTTTGCAAAAGCATTCTTTTCACTTGAACTTTTTGTAACTAGAAACCTTAATCTAGCATAGCAGGATTTCAGTTCAGTTCTAAAGTCAGTTCAGTTGAATTCCATTCAAATGAAAAGTACTAATGTGCACAAAAATAGTGCTTTAATTTTATTACTAGAGGTCAGAAAAACCATGGCTGTTTCTTATGTTGTGCTTCTTATGTTTGATGCCTTGTGGGCTGTGTGTGTGTGTGTACATATACCTTTGCATGCATCAATCTGGACTTGAACTTGAACGGTGAGTCAGAGAACTTACCAACTTCTGCTGATTACATCGAGCAGGTCACAGAGGGGGAGCATACTTTTGTCTCCTGCAGCAGCCTGATTTATTCTTCAAGAAAACTGATTGAAGCCAGTCACTCCTAATTCTCTCCTAGATAGCAACTACCAACTGCCGGCACAGTAGGTGTGTGACCAGTATTGAAACTGTGAAAGGACAGGTGTACAGCAATAAAGCTCTACTAAAATCTAAGATTCCAGCTGTAACTAGTTCTCTGATTGAAATCTTTGGATAACAACTATTTAACTGGGCTGATGAAATATAAATCAAAAGAAAAAATGAAAACCAATTAAAAGGGTTTAAGTAACAGTGCAACATTATCTTACAACCCACTTAGACTGTAAGTTTCACAGGACAAGCAGTTAAAAGCCTCAAAACAAATTAAGATTCAATATAGAAACTGAGGTAAACCACTTGGGTTTACCACTCTATGGACCGCTAAATGCTCAGTTAGGTGCAGCCAGAGGTGTGATGCTTCCTCTGCCTTAATGACAGAGTATTAAAAAACAAAAAGTCTTACAGGTATTCTAAGTTCTTAAAGAAAAACTACACAGAAAGATAAAAATGATTGCTTCTTCAATAACATTTCATGATAGACCTCTGAGGTCGTCACTGTAGTAGGGAAGTGGGTGCACACCATTTACACATAAGGAGACTTCTGAAGGGCATTAGTTGCACTGGATTTTATGTAGGGATGTGAGACCGCAGGTGCTTAAATAAATATGAATCCCACGATTCTTAAATTCTTAATTGTAAATTCTTTGAAAACTGTGTTTCCTTTTCTTTGCACAAATCCCAATACAATACATTATATTACATATTTATAGGAAGTCATTGTGGGGAAGTTTTAAAGAATAATACTACTTTAGGAAGGTAGTGTATTTCAGTATTAACGCTCCAACTACTGCAGCGTCTGTGTTTCTGTCTGATCATTAGGGGTCTAGTGTGGAAATATTAAAATCATGTCATTGTTAAAGTCATCTGTTTGCTTAAGTGAGAGGCAAAAGGGACATGGTGATCAAATGGTAACTTAACTTGGAGAACAACCTGTCATGGTGATTTGACACACATGATAATACACAGCTCTATCCAAAGTAAAAATGTGCTGTTATGCAAAACCTAGGTTCAAGAAAGCTTGATTATAAAAAAAACAAAACAATATATATATATATATATATATTTCTACTATGCAAAATACCAAGCAATATCAAAATCTTAATTTTCAAAACACAATATATGATACATGATAAGAAGAGATATATGATAAGAAGAGAATCTAAAACACTTTGTAGCCTATCAGTATAAACAGATTTACCAAAAACTCAACAAATGAATAAACACTAACCAAAAATCGCTGAGCAAACACAAAGCAAGGGGGCTTTTCTAGTCAATAAGTCTTTTTTCCACACTTCTAAAGGAACTCTTAACTGCTTCCAGTGATTATTTGACCATAAACTGTGCATCTTTTTCCTAAATTACCGTCGTTCATCTTCTTCTTAGCCCTGCACACAAACACACATAAACACACACACTATAGCCCTCATCACTACCCATCTAGAGAAGGCATGTGTTTTTAAAAACGCTGTCGCTAGAAATTGACTTGCGGCCTTAAAAGAAGCTGTCTGCTGTTGCTCCTCTTTTCGAAAGAAGAGTCTCCGCTTCTCCGCGAGCACGCAGGCACGTGTTGGTGGTACGCGCCCGCATGTGCACGCACGCGCACACACGGGAAAAATCGAGTCACATGCAGCGGTTTGAGACAGGGCTTTGAGAGACAAGGGGATTCAGCTTGAAAGGATGCTCGACTTGCATCACAGTGACATTATTTTCTATGGAATCATCCAGGTGGAAAGGTGTCTGTTTTCACCCAAATAAAGACACGCACCTGCAGCTGCATCAGGTTAAGAGTGAGCAGACTGCGATAAAGTGGATGCATAACAGCGAGATAGATGGATAGATCTATCTTGATAGAAGTTATTGAATCTAGAAAATGCGGGGCGCACAGACGTGTGACGTTTTTATAACTAATCATGCACATGTATTAGTTGAATCACGCGTGAGGAGGCAACGCACACGCTCAGAGGAAACGTTGCACTGCAGCCCTGACGTGACTCTACTGCCAGCTCACTCTCTGCCTGCCCCACGAAAATAAACCCTCCGCCAAAACTAGGGGCAACACAATTAGTCGTTCCTCTATCAACAGCCTGATTTAACGCAACGCTTTTTATTTATTTATTTATTTATTTATTTATTATTATTACACAGACATTTTCTGAATTACCGATAATACTGCTGTTTTATCTTTCTTGTCCGTTCCCTGATGATACAAATGTCCCCTGATTTGTAGTCTTAACTTAGAAAAGCGCAGATGCCTACAGAAATATACGCCGCGAATCATAAGCCCAGCTTTTTTTTTTTTTTTTTTTTTTCTCTCTTGCAGATGCACGCATCTCAGCGCCGCTTGTCGTGCTCTGGCTCAGTCTGAAGCGGCGCGGCTGTAGCAGCACAATATTTGGCTTATAACAGACACACCAGCAGTTGTCTAGATGCGAAACGTGGGCTTTTAGGAGACGGTGAGTGATTTGATTGCGATTTTTTTGTCATGTTGCACATAATATAACAACATTCCTCTTGCGCGGTGGTTTGATTTCCTATAAAAAAAAATCTAAACCTGTTATTTCCAAGGCTGTGCGCCACATAACCAAGCCGCAACCCCGCTTGTTTTAAGTGATATATTTGTGTCGATGTAATAAGCGCGTATGAAGGCTATTTATTTTCCTATAGAGGGCTGTCTTGCTTGCTCGATGGTGTTTTGGAAGAATATTATCTGGTTGCAAATCGTCACATAGGACTCAGGGAGACAGAGTAATAACCCAGCTGGAAATTTAAGAGGATTTTTTTATTCATCTTCCACTGGGAAGAGATTAGGGGGACAGCAATGGAAATTAAATTGCCCTGCATATAAAATGGGCGGGTTTGTCATTATATTCCGCTGGAAACAGTATAATCTAAAATGAAATAGTCTGCCTTTGGATACGGTGGTATGCTGTTTGGCTTCCTCGATTGAAGAGCGATCAATGCATTAAACATTTAGTGCACATTAGGTTAGAATTGCTAGTTCAGTGAAACATTTCTGTTGCCGACAGACTAAGAGTTGAACTCACTACACAACCACCAATGAACAGTGAGAGAGACCTGCGCATATCGTCAGCAGCCGCTTTTCCAGCCTCAAGCTAAAATTCGTCAGATCTGAGATCACAGAGGAAATTTTTCACATTTCATCCGACTAGGAAAAAAAAAAGATATTTCCTAAAAGTTCCTGGACAATAGTCAGCGGACATCTTTAACACCCGGGTTCTTCTGCTGTAAGTGATACTCTTGACATTTTCGCCTTTTTTATTGAGCCATAGGGCTTCAGAAGGGGGGCTGTTCTGGCTTTTCTTATCGGAGAACAGCGCAACAATCGAAAACGAGTTTTACTAATTGGATGTATGAGTTTACCGCTAAAATCAGCACCGTCTAGGGTGGAGTAGATTCTTTGGCACACATGAGCTGCTTGGTGCTTTAACAGGGATACAGCCTGGTTTTAGGGAGCAGCTCTCTCCAAATAAAACAGCATCAACGCGCATTCGGTTAATTACTCCGCCACGCGCAGATCGTCATGCCTGTATTTAGAGACTTGCAGAGGATGGCAATTGCATGCAAAATGTCCACGCTGCATAATTAGATACATTCAGATGTTGATGTTTACTGAGGGTGACATTCATTCCATTTGAATAACTTAAAAAGTGTGCTTGAGAGGTGTTTTATTTTTCCTCCCTGAATTTGATATGCTTCATAAATGATCCTTTATTAAACCCCAGTCAACATGAAGATCTTATATTTTCATTCAATTTTTGTCAGATGATTTGGCTCCCACCCACTCACAGCACCCAGTGAAGCACTTCAAGCCTTTGTGTCTGTCATTGTGAATTTGTTTTTGTTTTTTCTTTTAATTTTTTTTTCTATAAATAAGCAACCAGCCCTCTCGTGGACACCGATTGCGCTTTCCAATATGGATTCTGAATTTGCATGCACGGCATAGCGCAGGGTGTCGCTTGTCCACAGGCTTGTCCATAGTTTGTAGACTGGCTGAAATCATAAATAAATGTTTTAGGGAGGAATCAAATGTTTTTATCATAAATAAGAGCGATTTGGTGAGATGCTGTTTTTAATGCCCATGCTTCACATTGTAGGGTGTTACTGTAGAGGTTCACAGGTGCTACAGACCCACACAGGGTGTATACCTAGTCGATGGTGCGTTTCCTTGTTATTTCCATTTAATTATTCTGCGCTATGGATGCAGCCATAGGAACATCTGTTGGGTCTGCTCCATCTGATAGTCAGGGGCACATTTGATATGACACGCTGTTAAAGATGGTGAAGCAGAATGCTTGATGTTTGTCTTCTATCAAATTTTGCATGTTCTATAAACTACATTTTGATTTATCCAGTTTGTTTAAAATGAGTCTTGGAAATGTTTATCTATGTTTATCTATCTGATGATTATTTGGCCTTTTTGTGTGATGACAAAGTGGAGGTAATGGCTTAGAGGCTCCATGTGACATGCTTATGATGTTCGTTTTCTTTTTCTTTCACCTCCAGCAGTGAAAGGTCCTCCTATTTCAACTATGTGTGGACGGAGCAGGGCGACCTCTCTGCGTCTGTGGGCTTGCTTAGTTATCATAAGCAGTGTACTGAGTGGAAAAAGGTGAGAGACAATTTTAACTCTATATATATATGCACCAGATTTAAAATCTATAAAAGTACACGCTGAAACATACACACTTATCTTCATAGAACAGCATTTTGGTATAAAACTGATAGTCTAAATGGTGCAGCAATGATTAAGCCTTTTCTGGTTAACCCTGCTTGTACTGTATTTTATTTTTGACTAGTGAACACTGCGGAAAACATTTTATTTACCTTAACATGAAGAAGTTAATGTTCACTAATTGTGCTCCTCCTAGATGTCTGAAACTGAAAGCAAGCCAAGAGTGATTCATTTGGCAGATAGATACTCCACCATCCAACTCAGTTCTTGTTTTTACAGAGTCTATTCTCTGTGTTCGTAACTAGGACACACTCGCAGGACACCTGCATGCTTATTATCGCCAATTTAATAAGAAGTGAAACACGGGGATGAGAGATGATGAGTAAAAAATAGCCACTTTACTGTTGAATTGCACTTTTAAATTTTGGTTCACTAATTACGTGGGACAACATCCGCTCTGTCAGTTTTCAGACCTGGGTTGGGGTAGATGTTCTGCACTGCACTGAGATGTTTGCCATAGATTACTGCACATTTGTTTTGACAGCAGCTGCAGGGATAGCAGAGTCAATGTACAGACTCTCCATCTCAGTGTCAACAGTGAACTGCTGGCTGTCAGCTATCTAAATAGACAAAAAAAGAGAGATGGAGAAAGAATTGGATTATAAATGACAGGAGTGGGATCCACCATGAGGGGACTGCAACTGCAATAATTTCTACATGATTTTAACCCTAAGCAAATATTAATTTCTTTGCAGATTTTGAAATGTGCTTTAAAATGTGTTTTTTTTTTTATAGGGAATCCTTTCAGGACTAGGTAGATCAGGATTTCCTTACAGTTGAATTATTCAGTAGCATTGTTGGAGAGAATGGACTTAAGTCATACTTTGATATGGTCCACTTAGCTTTCTTTAGCAACACTACCACAAAAAAATAAGATTCTGTCAGCTTTAGCCCTTAAGTGTCAAGGAGAAACCTGCTATAACTTACTGTTGTTATTTGAATTTGTTAATACAATCTAATTTACCATTCATAAGTGATGTTATCTTTCGAAAAAAAAAAAAAAATATGTAAGTGCTGCAAATGGAGGATCATCTGTGCTTCAGAGAATAGATTCTAGCATTGAAGTGTTCAACAGAGACAATTCTGGGGGGACTGTCACAGAAACTGCAAAGCAATTATCACCCAAAAGATTTACTGTATAATCCGGTCTCCCCTTTTTTCTGACTCAGATACAGAATCACACTCTTGCGAATACACCTTTGGGAATTTGGGCAAGATATGATAATTGGACAGACCAAGTGCCTTGCTATCTAACTTTCAAAGGAAATGTCTCATAATTAGATTTCTGGCTGACTGGAAAGTAAAAGAAACTGTGAATAAAATGCACAGAGCTAGACTGGCTGTGAGAGTGTGAATAGCACTGTTGCTGTTAAGATGACCTGTAGATGGGGATGGTGTACAGTGGTTGGGGAGAGGTAGCCCCTTACTAATAAACACATCTATAATTTAAAGCCTATTTTTCTTTGCCTATTATCTTTGTGAAAAAAAAAACCTCAACAGTATTTCCTTGTAGGGTATCATTTATTCAATTTGAAACACTATGAGGAATAACCGCTAAAATAGCAAAATGGTTTATAAAATGAATTCCTTAAGTAGGTACTTGAAATGATGCCTTATGTCAGAGAAATGACCTGTGCATATCCAAATAAAATCAAGTAAAATCTGCTGCCCTATGGAATTACATCAATCAGAAGTACAGTCCAACTGTGTGGAATTTATTTTTGATATAAATATAGCTGTTCTGCCAAAAAATTACATCACACGGACCAAAGACTACATCAAACAGTGCACGTCACCCTCTAAACACCACCCATTCAGCCACTGCAAAGTATCATTGTGGCAGCAATATGCTGTGAAGATTTTTATCTGCAGAAGGGATAGAGACACTGCAGAGTTGCTGGGAGAAATTAAATGCAGAGTGATATGCTTAAAGAAAGCTGGAGGTTAAAGTAGACTTAGGACTGAGTAAAGGTTTACAATCCAACCTTCTCAAACACATAGACATGGCTGCAAGGTCAAACCACATTTGTGTCTTACAGCTATCTGGTCAGTATTTTTTTCCCCCCACATTGTTTACATTTGATCACGGCTGTGCTTCAAGAAATGGAAGTGTCATGAGAGCTCTACAAAACGAAATTTCGTTTTGTATACACTCTGTGTATACAAAACGACAATAAAAGTTGTCTAAGTATTCAGATCTAATTGAAAGATATTTTGTCTCATTTTGTAGATTTATTTCCCCAAAGAAATACAGAGACAAATTCATGTCTTAAGCTGTGAATAGGCATCATGTACATCAAATTCATGTATTTGGTTGCAATGTGGAAAGATGAAATGTAATGAATTAAAGTAATTAAGACTATAATAAAAAGTTAATTGTTGTTATTGTGCATGCTTATGATTAACATCTTAGGAAAGATCTGCTTTCAAATTTAAAAAAAAAAAAGTGTAACCTTATTTTAATATTTTCTCTATTAAGATAGGGTAATAGGGTTAACCCTTTAAGCTGGCCCAGTTCTTGTCTTCCTCCATTTTGGCAAATTCGAAAACCTAACATCTTTGTGAGAAGTGAGGGAATTATAAGAGCAAACAGGAATTTTGCATTTAATTTCACCTCTGGAATTGAACCCCCGGATGCCATTTACATTTTCTGTTTTCATACGTGATTATCATCCCAGGCCGGAAATTGACTTTTGTTTGAATTTGAAGTTATTCAAATCCGTTGAGTTCAGAGCCGACAGACAAAAAAAAACATCACAATTTTTAATTTCTTTTTTTTTTTCTTACTTTTTGCTAGTCCAGTGGATAATTGGGGTGAACAAAAATAAATAAATACCTTAACCATTTCCACATGTGCCATCTCCTTATTTTGAAAGTTCATGCTCAGAACAATAACCGTGCATAATGAGAACGTCTTCCCTCTAACAGTCAGAATAGAACTCACACCTTTTCCAAGATGGCTTCTCCAGGTGTTTCTCCTCCATCACTGCTAACATCCTTACTTTTCTTTGCTTTTCTATAGACTCCCAATTTCTTGTCTCTCCACATGCTGCTCTGTCTCCCTTTCAGACTCTTCCTTCATTTGTGTTGCAGATCTCCATTAACTGATCTCGATGACCTCCCTTTCTCCTTGGAGTTGTTTATCTAGTAAAGCCTATTTTCAGACACATACTGTTTATTTCAGAAGTAATGAAAGAAAAAAAGCCACTGCTATTGCAAATAGAAGATTAAAAAGGTCTCCAATGAACTGATGGGAGGGATTGTTGGTTCATTCACATATGCAAAGATCTGTGAGCATGTGGTTTATGCATGCATTGGTTTATCTGTTTTAATACACATTATGCACATGGTTCTTTCAGTTGTGTAATTTCCTTGCTTTTTGGTGCTCTGTGTAATGATGGTTCCCGTATTAGTGTGACGGTAAAACATTTATGCAGGTAGATTGAAGCCCTGCTCTCACAATTAGTGATGAGGGTTTTCAGCATTGCTCTTAGCATTTTGTTTCATGTTGTTCAAAGGCCACATCCAGTGATCTGTTTGCTGTTTGAAATACCATATTAAGGTATAAATAATGTATTCTAATTTCTCTGCTTTAACAGTCTGTCTCTCTCCCTATTCTATTTATTTCGAATTTATCAAGGTCTGTGTTCACGTTTGAAAACGTGGATTCTGCATTAATGACATTTCTTAGTAAAAACGTCCTTATATTATAAAAAAAAGGAAAAACACGCTTATATGAAATTTTCAAAAGAATGGCAGATATGAAAAAAAATAATTTTAGTCCACTGTGGCAAAATCTCCTTTTGATTGATCTCACATTACACCCTAAACAAAAGACACCCGTTTCTGATATGATCAACCATTAAATGGCCGTTATTAGCGGTTATCAGTGCCCTAGAATGCCTTCAGACTGCGCCTCCTCTACCTTATGGTACTGTAGGTTCCTTGTAGCTGATAATATGCAGATTATCATTGATGATAGCTGCTTCAGCCACATTTAAAAACTTTAAGTTTTATTTACTATTTACCCACTTTATACTTTTTATCTGCTATATTTAAAGCCTACCTTCTTTAAAAAAAAAAGCATTTTAAAGCTTTACTTTGAGTGAATTCTGCATGTTTCATTCATACAAATTTAATGTTGTGTTTAAAAACAACTCAGTTGACAGGACTTTTTTGGGGGGTGTTGTTCGATATGACAACATACCAATTAACTTTTTTTTTTATAGATGAGCCTGAAATATTAGATTAAGGTTAAACATAAATATATCAATTAATTCTGCAGGTAAAAAAGGAGTTACCTTAGGGTTAAGATTAGGATTCATTTGGTGAAAATAACCTACTGAGCCTACTGGTAGGTAGGAGATACAATCTGAAGCCATTCTATTTGACTGATAACATCTAGCCATTTAATGGGATGATAACATCCAAAGTGGCTGCAAAATATTGGTGATGAAAAAGCTGAATAGATGTGGTATAAGACATTCCTGAATGAGATGGAGCCATTTACTGATAGCCTCCATGCATCAACATTTTATGTTATGCAGGTCTGGTCTAAAAACATCCTCATCTCAAACTGAAATTGATAGGGTGTGTTGGATAGGGCAGGTTGGTTAGAGATTGTGTAGGAAACCTCATATAGATGGTTTGGTAAAATGTCAAGAAATATTTTATGTTTTGGTACATAAAAAATTGCAATCTTTACAAATGATAAAGAAGAATGGTGAACCAATTATGAAATTAAGTAGCCAGATTTATAGCTAAAAAGGAAAGCTGTTTTGCTGTTGTCACACCCTTTCTTTCCTTACCTTAATGCTGAGCTCATAATTTTTAAGATTTGTTTTTGTTTCTTTGTTGGAAGTTCAAGCCGTATCCCTTTCTTTAAAATCAATGTGTTGTGTTGGATTTGCAATTGGTCAGATACAGTATTTGTTAGCTAAATCAGTCACATACTGTATTAAGTGAAGAAAAATGTTTCACTCAATTTCAAGGATTTAGCATCCACAGTTGAGATAGGCAGGATAATTTGTCTTGATATCAGCTTTTACTATTACTTTATGACTGCTGTGATATTTGAGTTCTCATTTAACCAATTCTGTGGCAGTGACCAAAATATGAAAGGAACATCATGTTTGTGAGCTGTAGTGCATATGTGGCATATGGTAAGTGGCCCCCTGGCTTACCTGATTATTGAATAGTGTAAGGTATACTGTTAGATGCATTATAAAACAACAACAGATAGTTTTTCAATATGGGATTGTGTTTTTTATGCTGTTGAAATAAAGGTCAGTTATGCAATAGTGTGACAGGCGGTATGTATTGGTATGCTAGAATGATTAAATGCTAGAGTTTGCTGTGACCCCCACTAACAAAATATATATTAAATTGCACGTTTTAAAATTTTAGTAGTACCACTATGCTGTTGATGTATAAAAAAGTAACATATTTCCAAGCTGTATTCAGATATTGTCTTAAATCAAGGTAAAAAGTATAAAGGAAACAAGTTCACAATGTTGGAGGGCTAAACAACTTATATTCTTGTCATATTCTTGTCTGTGGGACTAGCTCTTTTCCAAATGTACTGTATGTCTAACTTCTTCTTGAATTCACTTTTCAGTATTCATTTATACTGTAAATAACAAGTATTTAACAGAGCTGATGATGGCATGATCCGACCCTTGGATATATAATGTGAGATGTATGTTGGAGGTGATCAGACATGGACACCTACCCTGTCCATGTTTTCAAAATAAAAATAATAATTCCTTGTGCACTCCAGCAGTGTTCCCTTTGTCATTCTTAACAGTTAAAATATAATCTTTTTATCCTTCATATATAGGTCAGACTAAGAGTTTCTTTTTTTGTTTATACATTTCAGTTTTGACTCTAGCTGTAACTTTAAATCTCCTTCTTTGCTTTGGCAGCTCTGGTCAGAATGGCATGACAGACGAACAGAGAGACAATACAACAGTGTTCACCAAGATCTTAGACAGCCTTCTAGATGGCTATGACAATCGTCTCAGGCCAGGACTGGGAGGTTAGTGCATTCAAGTTTTTGTTGAAATGTAATTGCTTATACAGCTCATTTTTTTGCAATTTGCAATTCTCGTCTTATAAACTGTCTTATTATTCCTTTATAAGCCCAGAATAATTGCTATATGACCGAATACGATGAACATAGCCTGGCTGTCAATATGAGACTTTTGTAACCATTTTGAAGCTTCATTATAAAGCTGCTGCTTTTCTGAAATTTTAATAAAACCCAGACTTCCACTATCAAACAGACACTGTCATTATTCACTTTAAGCTTAACAGTCTTGCCAACCACACATTGTTAGAGGAGTAACATGGCATGAACCCTATGAGTCTGAAAAGAAAATACAGGAGAGTCATAATGAAACAGAGATAAAGCTATGACATACAGAATAATGCCATTAGATGTAGCAGCCAGCCAATAGACAGGAGAAATACTAGCTTTATAAAAGGACAAGGGGAAAAATAGTGAATTACAACAGCCATCACTTACAAATCACACTGTCACATTTCACTTTGACAGTCACATGAAACTCCCAAACATCCCCTCTGCCAGCCTCTTTAAATGAACTCCCCACCCACTGATCCTGAGCTGGCTATCAGCATTATAGGACTAGAGTGACATGTTTTACACCATACACGTGTCATTAAGAGACCTAATGTCTGCTTAGGCAGTAATAAAGCTGACACTGACACCAGTAAAAACCGATATTGGTACCAAGATTCAACACAAGGTCCTGTGAGATGCTGAAATGTATTTGCCATTGATAATCTGGTATATGTTTTGCTTTATATGTATATTTATTATGCACTTTAGGGTGTGAAAAATGTTGCAGACGAGAGAAAAATAAATATGAGACTATATCAGGTGGCTTTGTATTAACAAGTAGTTGAGGCATAATGAATAGGCATATTGCCATTTATAGTCACTTACTCTGACAATTTCCTGCTTCAACAGAGCGTGTAACGGAAGTCAAGACTGACATTTTTGTAACTAGTATTGGGCCAGTTTCGGACCATGACATGGTAAGACTTTTCCACCTTTTTAAATGTCACTTGTTTTCCCTGTGCCTTTACCTCTCCCCTCACACCTGTCTTCTTGCCTTGCAGTTCTAACCTCTCTCGAAGTTGTTAAATATTCACTGGGAGAATAATTTGTTAACTAGTGATGGTTTGGTAAAGCGGTGAAACGGTTATTTATAGGTGATTCTTTCTCTTCTTTAATGCAAGGAGAAAAAGTTCACCCTCTCCCAGTTATTGTGTTAAGGTATTAGGACATTAGCAAAATTGAAAATGTGTTGTGGAATAAACAGCTTGCTTTCAATGGCATAAAGGTGGATGAACACCAGCCGAGGCAGCTAATCTAATGCACTCAACTCTTCAATAACAATTATGACCATCTCGATAAAATCAACTGGATGCCATAGAACATACAGGTGTGTGTGGACCCATTGTTTCAAATAAAGTCATGGCTTTTAAGAAAGAGCTATTGAAGTCTAAACATTTGGGTAGGGTTAGGATTTTCAAACAATATTGCTCATTGCTCTTTTAGAAAGAATATTCACGAGTGAAAAAAAAATATCCAAAACAGTTGGCAGTCTTTACAAAAATTAATGTTCCAGCAAATGTTCGTAAGATAAGGTTATCCAATGCTCACAGTCTTCAAAAAAAGAGCTTTATCTCAGACCCTACAGGGCTCAGTCTTTATGTTAATAAGCAATTAACAGATCAAGTATCTCTCATTTGAAACAATTGCGTCCTTGGACCACCTCTAGACAAACACGCATGCGCCAAACTCTGAAAAACACAATACGGGTGGCTTTCAGTGTTGTGTGCATTTCCAATTATCTACCTGGCTGGTTCTGTCATTGTGTCACAGTAACAACAGGTGTGGAATAATTTCACTCCCTTTTTTAGACATACTGCTTACATTTGCGAGGTGGGTTTGTGCTTACAGAGAATGTGAGGAGGCTTTTTACTAAATGAATTGACTCATAAAATAAGTTAACTTTTCAATAATATTTTAAATGATTTATTATTACAGTGTAATATGATAGTGTCATATGAAAAACTCTACCTTGAATTTGACCTTTTATTAGATATAGCTGAATTCAACAGTAGATGGCTAAACATAACTTGAACTCTTATAGCAAAGTCTTTAGAATATGAATGATGGCTTTTTTTTTTTTTTACTTTTTTTTTTCTCTGTACTATTCAATTGTATGAAATCTTTAAACATTAGTTACTGATCTTTGCAATATATACCAATAACCAATTGGCCTCATTCAAATTATGTGCACCTTTTATTATGTATATGAAGTGTGTCTACTTCTTTCGACATAATCTCAGATAATTGCACCGGCTGGCATGAGGACCAGAACTATTTAACTGCTATGTTATGGCCAGAAGAAAGAACATTTTCTTCATCTGGAGCCTTTCTATGTCCTCCCCTATTACCGTGAAGCTCTGTTTCAGTTCACTCTAATTATCTTATAAGAACTAGAGTGAAAGAAGAAGAAATAGCACAGAAAGCAGACTGTGAATCTCCCTACTCTAGTGAGCAGTCATGTGGAACCATTAAAACCATCTCTCAGCTGTAGTCATTAACTGGCTTGGAAATTAAGTGCCCTTCTAATTTTGTGTCCAGTGTCTCCTTTTTTGTGGTGACTGTAATTCATATTTGCCAGGGAAGTTTACCCAAATATGTTACCTGTTGGAGGCAATTTCTCTGGAATATGCTACATTATGGGGACTTAAAGGTACTTGCAGGGACTTGACTGCCCATGACAAAATGTTCTCTTCTTTAGGTAGAAGAAGAGAACTCTTAGGCGTAAAACTAAGGTGTGAGTTAAGTTTAAGTTAAGGGTTTATGTGTATCTTGGTAATAGTTAGGCTTAAGCCAGGCATATGCTGTACCGTTTTGTGCCCTTTTCGGCACGGTTTTCTAGTTGTGGAAAATTTTTTCAATCAGGCCGACCTTCAGCCTGACCGTGCATGGTGTAGTGTACAGGGTGTAACAAGGGGCAATCAGCAACTCATGATCACCTACTGATCAGAAAACGTAAGGGTGGGAGAAAATCAAACACGTTTCAAATTCATTTGGAAGTTGTAGGCAAATCGCTCAGTGGGCATGTTTAAACAAGGATTCCTTTTCCTCTGAGATGAAAACACAGAAGTATGGCGGGGGTGCGAGTGAAATGGATTTCTTTCTGTAAAATTTACAGACCATAGTAGCTACGTTTGCTCAGCCATGTCTTTGTCCAAATACATCGCCCTTTGTTTTAGGGCTTTCAGCTCACAAAGTTGCACAAATTGCACTGTAGTGAGCTTCGTATCCCTCTTCTACTCCTTTGGCTTCTGGATAGAAGAGTCCGAGTAGTGCCATCTCACTGCGGAGCTGAGCCCGACGTGGTTTTTAGATGTACAGTGTGAGCAGGTAAATCGTATCAGATAGCAGGGTTGCAAAGTGTAAGAATACACATCGTGAGCTGTGAACATTTAAACCCTGCGGTTTTGTCTTACAGTGTGAGCTGTAGGTGTGTGTAACGATTAAAAAAAATCGTACAGTGTATGCCCGGCTTTAGAGTAAACAAATGGGTTAGGCCATAAAAATGAGTGGGAAATGAATTGTTAATGGAAAAGCAAGAACTTTTAGGAAATTAAAATGAAACTACACATTTACTGGATAAAGAATAATAAAAATGAACTTGTATCAGCAATAACACCCTTCATAAAACTATATACCTCCTATAGGACTGCATCTAAAAATCTCTGATATTGTCATGCTGATAGAAACACTCAGCTACTATTGAAAGTTTCTTTAACTCGTTGGTTAATATCACATGGGTCAGATGTTCTCATACCTTTTATTGTTGACTATTGTTTTCCATTTTAGTAATATTACGTAATCAAGCCTTTTCTAACATTATACATTAAAAAACAGGTAATAAAAGGATGTATGATTCATGCTAGATCATTATTGGTCTTTCTCAAAGGTGCAATATTGGTATCTTATTGGAAATTAAAGAGTTATATCGGGAAATCCCTAATACTCAAATCAGCTTTGGGTAAAACAACAAACGGAATAGAGCTCCTGTAAAGCGAGTATGTCCTTTTGTTAACTTTGTTTTTTGTCTCTCTATAATTCACCCACAGGAGTACACCATTGATGTCTTTTTTAGACAGAGCTGGAAAGATGAAAGATTAAAGTTCAAAGGGCCAATGGCCGTGTTGCGTCTCAACAACCTGATGGCCAGCAAGATCTGGACCCCTGATACTTTCTTCCACAATGGCAAGAAATCAGTCGCCCATAACATGACCATGCCAAACAAGCTTCTGCGAATTACAGAGGAAGGAACACTGCTTTACACCATGAGGTGGGTTAATATAAACAATTGCTCTCCCAAAGGATTGTTAAAGTCAATATATCTTTGATTAGTTTAAAATGAGGAAATGTCGAAATGTACATGTATAGAAACACTAGATATATCCATTTATCTGTGAGCAAATAGCATTAGAAGTAATTCCACAAAGAAGAATATTTGAGGTAGATTAGTTATGTTATTAAAACATTTTTAAGATGTCTTCATTTTCATTTAAATGGGACAATTTGCATGTTTCTTTGCTACAAGAAATATATTATTATTTCACTGCTTCTACTTTATGCCCATTGCCTTGTAGAAGGTTACATGCACCTTGAAGTTTTCCACATTTCTTTTACACAAGAATTGAAATATTCTAATTCATTTTACAAAGCTAAAAAGTGTGTCACAGTCATTTTACTATGATTTCTCTAAATCGTATCTAGTAGAACCAGTTGCATCAGAACCTACCTTACCAGCAACGGGTGCACAGACTTATTTAAGCATATAAAGCGTTCCTGAAAGGTCTGTTGGTTGTGCTCAGGGTATTAGTTAACTCACAGCTACAGGAAGAGCGAGAGGAAAACCTGACAGGTCAGGGTCAATTTTGTGGGTCCAACGAAAGCATTGTTTGACAAGCAGCCAAAGGAGTCAAGGTAAATTTGTGGAAGGTAAAAAGATCCACAGTTCTAGTAGGAAATCCTGTCAACAAAAAAAACTATTTGTTATGCACTTGACAAATGTGGCCTGTATGAAGCCACAAGCCATGTAGAAAACACCACAAATGTGGAAGATTATGCTGGGGTCGGACCCACACTGAACCTTTTTGCCTATCTACAAAACCATTAGGGATGAAAACTGTCATAGAAAATCCCTCTGAAAACAAAATGTTTTGCAGCAAAGCTTTGCCATATTGCCTTTAAGTTGCTCTTCTTAAGTATTTGGTGGAAAGACGGTGAGCATTGAGGATGATAAAACAAATAATTGTGAAACTCATCAATAGTGTAACTCCAGTCCAGTTTATTGCAGAGGTCAACTCCTAGATACATATGAGTCCACTATATTATTATTACTATTTTGTTCCTTAGATCTGCACTAGTGTCAGTGTGGATGGTCTCTGTTGGCAAAATCCATGAGCAGCTATTTTGTTTTCCCTGCATTTATCTGGAGATGGCTTTGCTGGCACCAGTCCTGTGTCAAATGAATTTTGAATCATCTTCACTTATGATTAGACCCACTAAGGCAAAGTCACCTGAGAACTTCTAAAGATAGGAAGATAGGGAGTTCATAAAAAGCTCTGCAGGATCTGCAGGAATGGTGCCAGTACCATTTGCTGCAGGGCCCCCATACAGCAGATCAGTCTCTCAGAGACACTACCCTGAATCCTTCCCCACTGGGGGCAGCCAAAGAACTGACATGACGGCAACCACAACATCAACACTGCTGGGTTTTTGTGCATTCACAGACACACAGGAATCCATCTTGTTCCACTCCTGCCTCAACAAATTGAGAAGTGATCCTGCATGAACATATTATGGTTTAAGTTGGGTCATACAGAGCTGAATACAAATTTGTGGATTTTTTTACACATTTGCAAACCCAATTACTTACACAAGTTTTTTTTTGTTTTTTTTTACACATTTACAGTATCTCGTACAACACACAAATCTTACACATTTACAGATTTATTTACAATTTATTTCAAATCCGACTTCAAACACATAAATTGACATACTAGACACTCGACAAACATGAGCAAATAATCCATAGTTCATCCACTGTTTTGGACTGTCAGTCATGTTTCCACACTCCAGTGTTCTAAGACCTCGCCGATTAGGCCAAAAATGGAATAAAATAATAATAATAATAATAATAATAATAAAATCTGCAAATGGCAAAAGTAAAAAGCATAGTAAATCCACATATGGATTTTTTTTTTTCAGTTTCATTTTTTTTTTTGTTAAATGTTTTGTTATGTTCAAAATGTTTGGGTTTTTTGGGGATGTTAAGCATAATTTTTCAGTTTCCTTTTTTGTGTGAACAAATGTAAATTTTTCATTCATATTTTGAATAGATTTTATGGCCCTAATTTAGCCCCGTACTTAACTCCCCAGAGGTAAACTAATATAATTATTATTATAGTCTCTTATTAAAATACTAATAGTAGGAGTTTTGATAAAAAGAAATTTGAAAAAGTTAATGGGGAGGAAAACATTCATAAAGCATTATTATTTTAAATACTAATAGTATTCGTCGTATTGATCTCTTTTAATGTGTGTTTTTTCTTGCTAGACATCAGAGAGACAGAAAGCTTAAAGGTGTAGACCCAGAGCTTTCCTTTACATGTACATTGAAAATGATTAAAGTTCTATTTTATTCTGTTCTCCTCCAAATCTAATGCACAAAAAAATAATGTATATTTTTCTAGGAATGTACAACTTTTGCATACAACATTTTAAGCTAGTAGACCAATTATGAAACTATAACTTTTACTGTTCTTTAAAAATAATGGGTGAATAAACCCCTTATTACAGTAGAGAGACTAATTCACACCACAGACTTGTTGCAATGTAAGATCTATAAAACATTTCTGTATAAAATTTGTTTTAACATGTTTAGCAAAATGGGGGAGGGGGGAGGCAGATCCTGTATTGGTGTCACAGATGACTAAGATGAGGGTTAGATGGGAGATTAGTGTGTCACCCGTCGTCTGACATGCTGTTTTTCCACCAAGCCACAAGTAAACAGAAGCTCAAAGCTCATGGAACTGGAACATTACTGTTTGGGGGGAAACTGTAGCTAGAATTCTCTTTCAGTGGTGATAATGTAAAAATCTTTCTCTCTCTGTAAATGCCCTCTGAAACACACACCAAAATATACATGTACATATATATATATATATATATATATATATATATATATATATATATATATATA